CTATAGCTTAATGAAGTGGTTCTGGTGTCTATAGCTGGTCCCTGCAGGCTTTTTAATGTAAACACACACTGTGTACAGCACTGGCGTTAGTTCATATGGCAGATCATATGGGTGGGGCATTGTGATGTGACATGTGGGGGCAGCAAATTTTTATTTTGTCTAGGGCGGCAAAAATCCTTGCAGGGAGGGTGCTGCGTGAGCTGCGCTGGCTCTGCTCCCCAGCACGCAGCTGAATGAGACCGGCGCCGGAATATGACGCCATATTCCGGCGCCAGTCTCATTCAGCAGCGCGGGAGGGCGGGAGGGCACTAACACAGGAAGCACCTCTAGTGACCATCTGAGTGACTGTCACTAGCAGTGTCACTTTGAAGCAATGTAAACACTGCCTTTTGTCTGAAAAGTCAGTGTTTACGTTGAAAAGCCTGTAGGGACATGCTATAGACACCAGTACCACCACATTAAGCTGTGTGTGTGTGTCTACTAGTGAGTGAGCTTGCTTGCATGCGTGTGCCTGCTAGTGAGTGAGCTTGTGTTTTTATGTCAATGAGCTGATGTATATCAGTAAGATTGTTTGTCTATGAGGCTGTGTATCAATGAGCTTGTGTGTGTCACTGAAATGTCAGTGAAATTGCCTGTCTGCATGTGTGTATGCTTACTGTATAATTAAACGTTTTACCCTGAAAGGACCAATATTTTATATTAGAAAAAGCAATATATATATACATATATATATATACACACACACATACATATATATATACATATACATATACATACATATATATATATATATATATATATATATATATATATATCTCAATCCTCTGTCCTGGCAAGACATAGCCTTACATATTACACGTGACAATATATGGCGCAGTGACTTATGGTGCTGGCACAAATTTTTTTTCCAGGGCTGCTTTGTATCCCCAGTCCGGCCCTGCCTACAACCAACATAAAAACTAAATTTGACAAGCTACTACTCAAAGGAAAAGAGTTAGAAATATTAAATGAAAAAGAATATAGATACCTCAACATCATTAAACCAAAAATCCCTGTTTTTTTATCACCTCCCCAAAATCCATAAGAACACCATCAAACCTCCGGGTAGACCGATAGTCTCAGGAATTGACTCCGTATCCAGCAGACTATCGGAATACCTGGATAAATGTTTACAACCCATTGTACAACAGACACCAAATTATCTTAAAGATACACTAAATATAATACAAGTATTACAGGATATACAATGGAAACCCAACTATATTCTAGTAACGGCAGATGTCAGTTCCCTATATACCATCATCTCTCATACGAAAGGATTGGAGGCAGTTAAATTTTTCCTCACAGAAAACATTTATCCAGAGGAACAATCAAATTTTATCATGGAAGGAATAGAACTTATTTTACAAAATAACTATTTTTGGTTTAATGTGGTTGGTACCACTATGGGAACGAGGTTCGCTCCAAGTTATGCCAACTTATTTATGGCATACTGGGAAACGAAATATATCAACAATAATCAAGAGTGGGGAGTGAACCTCGTTACCTATAAACGATACATAGATGATATATTTTTAATTTGGGATGGTTCAGAGGACCTTCTAAAAATGTTTTTAAACTTTTTAAATACGAACGATTGGGGGGTCATCTTAACTACAGAGTACAGTATGGATAGTGTGAATTTTTTAGATTTAACAATTTTTATAGAAAACAATTACATTAAAACCAAAACTTATAATCTTCAATTTCTGAGCCTTTTGCGGTACCATTGCTACTTACAGTTGCATCCAAACTTGTTTACCTTTATTTAACTGTTTAATTGTTTAAATGTATAAAAACTTGACAGAACAGAACTGCATACCAAAAATCTATAAACGCACCACCAAACAACATCTCGTTCTCTACAAACCCTTTTGTATCATGATGTACTGACGAAATGTTTCAATTGTGGCTTTTGCATAAGCCCGTGCATGTACTATCCTTGTACGATACTCATGTGCTTGTCAACTCTGCCAAATGAAAATAAAGAATAAAAAAAAAAAAAAAAAACTTATTTCAAATCGGTAGATGTCAACAACTACATCTACCTAAATAGCTGTCATTTTTTACCATGGTTAAAAAATATACCAAAGGCACAATTTATGAGAATTCGTAGAAATTGCACAGATGTAAGCACTTTTGAAACCCAAGCAACCAGGATCAAAAATGATTTTATCAATAAGGGGTATGGAGAAATGACCCTTTCGGACACCATAAAAGAGGTAAAAACAATGGAGAGATCTCTATTAAAATATAAATCGAAAAATAAAAACGAAAATAATAACGTACCGTTTATTTGCAATTTTAATCAAGAGAGCCATAAAATCTAAAAAATAATAAACAAACATTGGCCTATATTAAGGAATGATCCGATGTTACATTCTATACTACCAGAGAAACCTAGATTAATCTACAGAGGAGCCCCAAATTTGAAACAAAAATTGGTTCATAATCATATAAGACAATACGTCTACTCCTTTTTTTCAAAAAGAAGGTTTTTTTGGTTGTGGACAGTGTCTAGCTTGCAGAAACATGAAAAGCATTAAAAGACACGTTACAGAATTTTATGATCAAAAGGGAGAAAATAAGTACAAAATACGTCAGATGATTACATGTTTTTCAAAAAGGGTAATATACATACTAAAATGTACATGTAATCTCCTCTATGTAGGCAGAACCAAACGTCCTCTACAAGTAAGAATAAACGAACACATAAGAAATATAAAAAAAGGCTATGACAAACATAGCATTTCAGAACATTTTAGTTTAATACCTAATAAAGACCCCCAATATTTAGAGTTTATGACAATCCAAAAAGTTACATTGAATTGGCGAGGGGAGGATGAAATTAAAAAACTAGGCAAAATTGAAACAAAATGGATTTTTGATTTAAACACTTTAGCTCCTTTAGGATTAAATGCAGATTTTGAGCTATGTCACTTCTTATAAAATATACAAAAAATGGACATCTTTATCATCAGGATCATTATTAGTTTTTATTTCTCTTCTAAATTATCACTCAATCTTTATTATTATTATATATAAATTTTATCACTATTATGCCGATTATTTATTGAGTTATCTTTATTTTTTCTTTATTATTCTTTTTCTTTATACTTTTTTCTCTTTCTTTTTCTTCATTTAATTCTTACTATTCACTTACAATATTTTATTCATATCTATTGTTTATTTTTTCACTTTATATTTTTTCATTTCATATTTTTCATTTTTATTATTTATTTTTATTTTATTTTTATTTTATATTATTTATTTTTATTTTTATTTTTAATTTTATTTTTATTTATTTTCAATTTCTTTTTCTTTTCCATTTTTATCTTAATTCCAATATTTATTTTTATTATTGTTTATCACTATTAATTATATTTGATTTTAATTTATTCTTACTAGTATTACCCTTACTTCGATTTTTATTTATCTATATCCATTTATTACTATGATGCACTTCACATCATTAACACTTTTAACTATTTCTCTGTTTTTAATGTTTTTTTGATTTAATTTTGTTTTTTAAATTAATTTCATTATTCATTTACTTTATTTTTTAATATTACCTTCAATTATTAACATTATTTCTATTTATATATTAAGTTTATTGTGGATTATCTAATAATAAAGATTAATTGATAAATTTATGTATATATTTTTTCCCCTATATCTATGAAAATTGTGTTGCTTATATACTTAGTTCCTACATCAAAATAACAACAAACATGGATGGTCAATTTTTAACATTCCTTTTTCCTTCATATGTGCAATATTCTTGTGAGCCGATATGGCTCGAATGAGGACTTTGAGACAAGAAGTTTTTTACTTGTGGGACTTAATACGCGGATCGGAAGTTGCGCACGGAGCGCAAAGGATGATGGACATTGTAGTGCCGAAAAATCGGAAGTGACGCGACGGCAAGTTAATCGCGCCACGAACGGCGCAGAACCACGAGAATTTCGGCTGGAATTTGAATGTAGTTAAACAGAAAGACAACAGAAGACCTGTAAAGCTGACTGAGGAAGCCGAGCAAATTGGCGAAACGCGTTTTGGCTTAAAAGTGGACTCAATATTTTTTTGTACCACCCATATTTTATTATTATTCTGTTTAACAACCTTTTTATTTGTTATTTTCTATCAATGTATTTTTTAAAGTAATTTCCATATTTTATATATATATATATATATATATATATTTATACATTAAATGATAATAAACATCCCCCTTTTTTTACATCATTCACTGGATCCTGCAAATAATTCCAGGGAAGGGGCAGTGTCACCCCATAAATTGGCACTAAGTCGGTATACTTAGAGCCAGTTATCAAAAAGGCTCTAAAAAAGGTGAGCACTTTAAAATTTTATATTTTATAAATATTACCATCACTGGAGATACTACACTTAGTGCGATATATCTGTGTTTTCTATACGTGCTGCGGAGAGGAACACACCTTTACCTGGAGAGAGGGGACATGTGATCTACCCAAAAAGACACAAGACGCTTGGAAGTTTAGAGCCTATGAACTAGAAAAGGCTCTAAAAAATTTGACTTTAGACACATTTGTCACTTACATATTGCTCTACCATAATTTATAACACATTGCACTATTATCTGTATATTTTTCCTTTTTCTTTTTATGTATACACTATCTTGAGATCATTGTAGAGGGTAAGTGTTTTTTTGGATTTTGAAAAACACATTTTTCACCTCACATTATAATATAGCGCTGCACTCTTTAAAAACTGAGGACCTGATAGGTGGAAACACCGGCAAGGTCTTAAGTTTTCTTCTGTGTCCTCTGCTAAATAGTTAGTTATCTTGGCTTTAAACAGAAAAAATGTGTTTTGCAAATTG